GCTTCCTGGAATTCACTTGTTTGTAGAATATATATTTTGATTGTCAGTTAAGATAATGACTTTGTATTTTTTCTGCACTTAATTCATGTATTTGACCCGCACAACAGTTCTCTATAGTGTGGTGAAGTCAACAAAAGACATAATTACACCTATCTGTTAATGTGTGCTTACAATATTTCAGTAATTTTATTTAAGCTGTCAGTAGTAAGCAGAAGAAAGCTGCAAATTTTAATTTTCTTTTTTCTCATTACATTGGCAGTTTGAGTAGTCATCAGTTTTCATTACAGAAAATGTGTAGAATTTTCAATTTGTTGCATATTTCAGAAAGACACCCAATTTTCTTTTAGCTTTTGTGAAAGCAGTTACGACTTGCGCGACAATGTTGTATTGTGTCTTCATTACTTGGAAAATTGTGTATTTTCAGGGTTAGTGGTTCAGTTGGAAAATGCTTGAAAAATGAGTTCTAAGCACTTCATCAAGCACAGCAAACAAATGGTATAAAATTTTGCTATTTGAAAATTGATTAAATGTAATAGTATCAATTGATTTTTTTTTTATTTTTTCCTTCGAATATAGATACCTCACTTAAAGGAAAGCACAGCTGTACTGTATTTAAACTAATTCTAGGAAATAATAAAAAATCGGTCTAAAATACTTTGTTGCTGTTACGTTGCTTTCTGTGATTGACAAAATCTGGTTTTGTGTTTTCATACTCTTGGAACGTATTGATGCTGACATGCCGGTATATAATTATCTCAAATTACAGAAAGTAGCTGCAAAACAACAGTTTGTGTTAGCGCAAGGCAACAGGTTGGACGGCTATTCTGAAACCATAGTAAAAGCCTGTGAAAAATGATCAGTGCATTCAACAATTTTTAGTACTTTGCCAATGATGTACAGTCGTATTGTTAAGAGTTGCTGTGGTTGCATTACATGACACACAAAACTGTCCTCTACCTCACGTGAGATTTAACAGATATTTTATATGGTTTTAGTAAACAAGATGCATCTATCTGGTCACTTAGTTTACAAATTTTAAATTGTATTTATTGAAACATGACATACTGTGCTCTTAGCTTATACCTCAATTGTATTTTGTGCTGTTATCCATTTTCATGCTTTGTAAATACCTGTATAGATTGTGGATTCAAAAAAATAAAGAACTGTAATGTCAGAACACTTGTCTGTGATGTTTTTAAACACTGACTTCTAAACTTGACTTCTTGGAAGGTGTTTAACAACACAGACAGACTCTTCCTTGCTTTGGGGACAGTAAATTAAACCCTGATGACACTGACCTGTTTGCAGAGCTCCCACTGCCTGCCAGCAGGTCCTGGTCTTCTATAGGGTATATTTACCAAAATTGACAAGACAATGGCCTGCCCTCTTCATCAGTCCATTGAAGACTCCTAAAGCTCTTTTGACTCCACAAAGAGATTATTGACAGTAAGATTTCTGTGTATCTTGACGTAAATTTGGTGTGTATACGTGTAAGTACAACCACTTGCATGTTTGGGTTGTACTCTGGTGCTCAGCTTTTGTTGCTACTTGGAAATTCCAGCTGTGTTTGAGTTGTTCACACCTTTAATAGCTTAGTAATGAACAAGATAAATCACACATTACCAGATAAAACGCTGAGACTATACAAACTTAAAAATCGGAGATGAGAATTCTACTGAATTGGCTGAAAAAAGACCCCTGGTAGAAAACATGCCCGACAGTGACTCTCAGGAGTTCTTAGTTTTTGTAAATTATGATTACATTGCTTAATATTTCTGTGTATCATCAGGGAGCCTAAATAACAGAACATTGAGAATAGGAGAGAAGAGGCAGCCAGTAGGAAAGTGGGAGCTGTTCCTATAAGCTGCATATGAATGGGACTTCCATTTAGGTTAAGCTTCCACCACTTACAACAGCAAGCTATACTCTATTGGTTACTTAAAATCCCCCTACATCGTAGCAAAAATTACAACTTTTACTACAGATATTTTGGAGATTTTTCTGTGTTATTTTGTTCATACAGAAAGGTTTTTCCTGACAGATACGCAACTGTGGTCACATACAAGAGATTTTTTTCCTTCTCGAATTAGAGCAAAACTGCTTTGTCCTTGTTTCAAGGTACTGCTCTTGCACGTAGGAAATCCTGCTTATGTTTCAGATTATTGCAAACCCTTAATGCTACTATGTACTTGCCTGTATTTTATAGCTGAAGAGAGAAATGAGTGGAATGAGCCAGGCTGAAGATGAATTTTGTAATGTTTTGATGAGCTCAGCCCCTAGTATGGAAGAAAATTAATAACTAGCTGTATCATTTAAACATGTTGACTTCAGCATCCCATGTTGTATTTTTATTCTGCTGTATTTTCAAGTGAGGGAGAAACTAACAGGGTGAAAAACCTGCAAAAACCAAGTTCAAGGTGAGTCATTTCGTATGAGAAAAAGCCATAGGGTGTTGATAACTTGTGTAAGTATGACTAATTGAAATGCATATCATTTGTCAGAGAAAACAATGCTGCTGATCAAGGGAAATCTGCTGGAGTGACAGGGTAGAAAGATTGATGTTTCAGCTGTTCACACTTGCCAAAACAAATAGCTTTAAAAATGGCAAATTTTAAGGGTATTTCCTTAAGTGTATCAGTTTATTTAGCATATAGCTGGGAAGTCATTCTTCTTTGCTTCTTATTTTATTGATCTTGTGAATCATTGTTCACTTGTAGCATACTTCTATTCACTTAAATATCAGTGGTATTTGTAACAGTGGCAGAATAGTAAATGTTTCCTGTCTCTAGCCATGTTAACAAAATACTTCAGACTGGGCACCAGGTTGAGTACTGTTGAGTTATTCTAGCTACTAATGTGTAAAATTTACTTTTTGCCTGTTGAGCTGCTACACGCTCTGGCAAATAAAATACATTTGTGAAGGAAAACATGGCAGTGTTAAAAGCTTTAGTGGTTAATAAAACTGTAACTGTAGGGGTCTGAATTATGGTAGAATGTGCCCATGGCCTGCACCTTAATATCTCTCAGTATTTACAAAAGTCTTTTTTTTTTTTTGTACATTAGGATGTGCTGCACAATCACCATGTGAAATGCTTCTCATTTCAGCTTTGGAGTGAAATGGGATATCAAGATGTTGCAAAATTTTCTGGTATTTTGAAGAAATCGAGAATGCTTTGAAGTATGTTCACACTAAGTGTTAGTGTGATTTCAGAGAATATGCATGGGTTTTAACTTCAAAGGACTGTGTGGAGACAGTCCTGTTAGACAACAGAGGTTGGTATTGCTCATCCCAAAGTGGTTAAGTATTCTTATTTAAAGTTAGGTGAATGAAATTCTAGACTTGAAAAACTGTGAGCTATATTAGCAAAGGAGAGAGGCAGGAATGTGTCTGTTTGTGTATTCTCCTTACAATATACTAGTATATCTCCTGAAGAACAATTAAGCAGGAATATTGTTTGGGGAAAGATTCAATCGATCTAGAATCAAACCCTTGACAACATGAAAATGGTGGTTGAATGTAAGGAACAGCAGGCTTCACCTGAAATGGCTGCAGTGGAAGAATAAGCTTCGTAGAAAGATGGAATCACATTGGGAAAGTCAATGAAAGGCCAGCTGGCAGCAAGACTTCACAAAAATACCATGGGCCAGGTAAGGAGTAGCCCACAATATAAAACAAAAGTAACAAATAAATTTCTATTTGTTACAAAAGCTATTCTCCAAAGGTAATTTTCAGCTATTTGTATTGTAACTCCAGCGTTCAGGTAAAGCTTTGACAAAACAAAACTGTGGCCTCATGTCCTTGAATTTTGAATATAAGGAGTATGTGATGGAGCTCAGGATGATCCTGGTGATGTTTTTCACTTTATTTGCTAAAGAGTGGGATAAAATACAGTTGGATGAAGAGCAAGATAGTTTTCTTTCCCAGCACTTGGAGTAGAGTAAAAACCAATAATAATAACAATATCTTGGTGTGTTGCTTCCGGTATTTCTCTCTCACCAGCAGCTCTAGGAATGAATCAAATTCATTGTTCTCTCGTTTTCTTGCCCGGTTTTGCCCTTCCTCTGTGCAGTGGGGACAGCTCTCCACTAGTGGTCTCTCCAGGCATGTTTCATCTGCATAGATCCGAGGTTCCCTTCACAGAGTCAGAAGCGCTGGAGGACAGCAGTGACTAGGGATGTGTTGGCACACACTAACATATATGTCTGTGAAAGTACAGATAGGAAAATACCCTGCCTGCCTATTTCTCCTGATGCAGAGCGGGCTGTGAAGTTTCTCTTTTGACATTTTGAAGTAGCTGTTCCCTGTTCCGTCAGGTAGACTAAAATTTACACCTATAATGAATCCAAGTAAACAGCATCTCATTCTAATTTTAGCATTTAGAAGTGGAAATAGGTGCTGTTAAACACATATTTGAGAGTCCATGAGTGTTAATTAATACTTCTAAAACCCCAGGCAGAAGCAGAGTACAGTGATGGGTCTCATCTTTTTGCAGTTACTGAAAACATCAGGAAAGACTCAAGACTGATTTTATCCTTTTACTGCAGCCATGCTGATGGCTTTGATGAGATTATCAATTCCACCTTTTGAGTAACTTTGTCCACTCTATTTCTTGCCCTATATTTTTTCCATGAGGAGGTACCAGTGTGGTCATTTGTCTTCAACTCAAAAATCCTGCTTTATTTTTAGTCCCTCGATGCTGTATTTTGAATAGTCAGGCTGTTTGCATTTGAATAAAGCAGCCTGGTTTGTTTTTCAAGCATGGGTGGGTGTAATTCTGCATCTCCTCCTCTCCACACCCCTCTTACTCTCTTGATTAACTGGCAGAAGCTGGGGCTCCCTGCTCGCTCCTCCCATGTGTTATAGGGTTGGAGGCAGCTCTAACCCCTCCCAGGGACAGAGCTGGGCAGAGGCAGTGAGTGCCTGCAGCACATCAGAGACCTCATCCTACCAGACCCCCATCCCTCCAGCTTGCAGCAAGTCCTAGCAGACCGGATCCACAGCAGGACACTTGCCAGCCAGCTTTGCTGAACCCCTGCAGGTGCTCTGCTGTCCAGCTTGCCCCAGCAAGGGATCGACATGGTGGCCACCTGCCTGCACCTGGCCGGATTTGTCTGCAGTTTCATAGGGTGGATCGGGGTGGTTGTGGCAACAGCCACCAATGACTGGGTGGTGACTTGCGGCTACACCATCACCACCTGCAGGAAAATGGATGAGCTGGGGTCCAAGGGGCTGTGGGCAGACTGTGTCATGGCGACAGGTCTCTATCACTGCAAGCCCCTTGTGGACATCCTCATACTGCCAGGTACGTGTGCCTGACCTCCCCTTCTCTCCCGGAGGTGAGGAGCAAAGTCTTGCTCTGAGCAGCGCAGGTCCTACTGCTGGAGGAATTGATGGCGAAGCTCCTTCAACTTCAGCAGCTCAGGAGATGGTTCACAAAATACACTAAGGAATGTGAAAAATAGCTTTCAATATGATTGCCTTAAATTAATACTTAGTTTTAATTGTACCACGTATCATGAGTTATCTGTGGCTGTTAAGGTCCGGCTGAAGTTTAATCGTTGCTCTTAGGTGCTTGCCTTTTCACGTCTTGTAGCTATAGATTGCATTGCAAAACATATATAGTATATTGAGGTATAATGGAGTATTTCAGGTTTTGCTTTTAGATTATTAAAAATGTGAAGGTTCTATTCCTTAAATTGATCTTGAGTATAATGAATCTTTCAGCATCTATTATTAATGCTGCTATGGCTTTTAATCTTTTGGAACATCGTCATTAGTCTTTGATGGTCTTGTGCTTCACGCGTGTTCTAAAGCAAGACATTACTTTTACATGGCAAACAGATGTAACTCTTCCTCTTTTCTTGATCTTTTCTAATTATATAGTAATTTCTATGTAATTTACTGCAAAGCAAAAATTAAGCAAGGTGTTTAATCAGTATGAACGCATCTTTTGAGCCAATTAAGCATGCCAAAGTCTTGTCCCTGTAAGTTTAGTTAGTGATCTCACCTGTTGCAATCAGTTAACTCTGCAGTGCTTCTTCATTTTGATATGTTTTAGATTGTACCTCCTCTAGCATGTCAGAGATGCCTCTTCCAAAGCTGACAGGGTAGAAATAACCATTCCTTGTTGTCTTCTTTAATGTTTCTTTGTTTATTTGTTTAAACTGCTGTGAAAATAATTTCACAAGAGCTTAGAAAGATTAGTCCCGAATTTTTCTCTGTTAGAGAGCCTACTCTGTGTCATAGAGTGCTTAGCAATATTGAATGTCTCAGACTAGCTCGTGTTCTCCCTTTCTGTGTGTGTGTATACTTTTATTTCAGTAGGTTTGCCTTCCTTGTTGCTACTGTTGCTCAGTATGATCCAGCAGAGAAGAAAGAGAAAAAGCTTGCCCTGAAGAAACAGTTGAATGAAATTTAATGAATAAGTAAACAGGTCTTTCAGCAGCAGAAACAAATCTCTCCAGCAGAAAAAAATCACAAGACAAATGCTTGTGCTTCTAACCTATTTGATACCCACAGCTTTTCATGAAAGGGAGATTTATCCTGGTGTGCCTGATAGCTGAAATGTATTTAGTCTTTCACTGCCTAAGTCAAGCTTTTAAAATGGATGTTTGTATTCTCTTCTAATGGGGGTTGATTGCACAGGAACCATACTGGGCACAGCCACCTCCTTCGTTTGAGGTCTCATTTTTTTTTTGCCCTGAACTTCTGAGGTAACTTCTTTTGTTAAGTTTCCTCTTGCAAAAGTCAAGCAAATATTCAATATACGCAGAGTCTATATTTCCAGGAACAGTAAAATCCTCACTCCTGGTGCCTTACCTGCATGTCAGTGGGACTTGCTTGAGGCCACTCTTCACCGGTATTGTTTGAGGCACCACAAAACTCCATGTTTGCATGTGGCAGCTTCATTTTGTTAGTGAGAATTGAAACAGACAGCATACTCTCTTTGCCGAGACTGTCCTGAGAGTTGGTGGAGGCTCACCAGGCACTGGAGCAAATCTGACACTTGCTCTTTTTCTTTTGAACGCAAGTAATGACCTGTTCTTGTTTATTTATATATAGTTTATAGATACTATATAACTTTTCTTTATATAGATAAAATTTTGTATATACATTTATATAAAAAAACATATTTTAAATGAGACATTATTATACATAGACCCTCACCGAGTGGTAGAAACATCATGACCCTGTGCATCATGGTCACAGCCCCTGGGTCTTGTAGCTCCTTGCTGCCTTGTGACAGGCTGCTATTGCTGCTCAGGCACAGGCAGGAGAGAGGCAGTAACTGATGGAATGCCAGGGGATCCTGTGATGTCTGTAGGGACCCAGAGGAATAAAGTGGCCCTTGGTTATGGCAACCCAAGCAGCTCTGCAAAGTGCAGTCGTTTCTTCTCTCTAAGGAAGAGCTAGGCCAGTGATTGGCTTGAGCCACCTGTCTCCTCTGAAACCCCGCTGCCAGGCTGGACTCCTGAGGTGCAGCACTGGCACGTGGCGAGTGTCCCTCCTCCTCCCAGGTCAGCAGTCCTCAACTTCTCAGGGCAGCTACTGGTGGTATCTCATGGACCTGATTGTTTCTGTGATTAGACTGTAACTATTCAGCTCTCTGGATGATTGTGGTCCTCCTCTGCTCACAGCAAGCTGCTCTTGAAGTCTAAATTCTTGTTATTTAATCAAAGCCCTCTCCGTGAAAAGATACAGGAAATCTCCATCTTAGCTGTTTCTCCTGCTTTCCCTTCATATATATTCCAGCTCCATGATTTCTCAGTGTCTTGCTGGGAGAGCTTCTGTTTTTCAGGCAGTGCTATTTGTTCATTGGAAAATTTTGATCCTGCACATCCTGTGTTCATGCACTACCCACTGCACTGCAGTGTCATTGCCTATGCCTAGGGAAGACTTAATGTTTACACAAAGGATTGAACCTGTTCCTCATACTCTATGCAAGTCTTGGGAGCTAATCAAATGGGAGCCTTTCTCCAGAGGTCTCCTTCTCTTGTGCCAAATAATCAATATCCTCTTTCCTTGCTTTGCCAACAGGGTATGTCCAAGCCTGTCGAGCGCTGATGATCGCTGCCTCTGTCCTGGGTCTTCCCGCTATCTTCTTGCTGATAACAGTCTTGCCCTGCATCCGGATGGGCCATGAGCCTGGAGCTGCAAAGTACCGGCGGTCCCAGCTGGGAGGGATCCTCATCATCCTCTTGGGTAAGGTGCCTCTGCGTGTGGAGGGCTGGAGGTCTTCTCTGCCCCAGGAGGGTGCAGTGCAAGCTGGTTGAGCATGTTCACCTAAAAGGATGGCTGTCAAGACTAGGCTGATCCTGGAGATCTCCGGCAACACTGCAATCTGTAGCGTGAACAAAGGCATGAACAGGAGTGGGAGGGCAAAGACAGGGAGTGAAACAGGGGCAGGCTGTGAACCCTTACTGTGTATTGTCTTGTGAAGTCCCCAGGCAGGGCCACAGGCACTGGTTTTGCTGGTTTGCTGTGGAAGCCATGTTATATTTGGAAAGGGTCTAAACTTCCAAGCTGCTTGCAGGGAACGGATAGACTCTGAATTCCCCGGGCATCACAGATGCAGCCAGGTCAAAGTGGAAACAGCAGAGGAGGGAGCAAGGATGTGGCACGGACCTGGGAAGAGGGATGACATGTCCCCTGTGCCTCCCTACCCCCCTCTGGCCAGCCTTGCTCTTGGCCTCCAAGTTCCCCTGGGAATTTCTTCCCGTCAATAATGCTTGTGGAGGAGCTTGTTTTGAGCAGCACAGACTGTGGAGCTCATTGTCCCAGCGCAACACCTGCATGTTCTTGAAGCCTCGTCATCTCAGCAACAGGCTGCGGTGCCTTGTTTTTACCCGTCTGTGTGGCAGAGGAGGAGGGGTGAGGGAAAGTGGCCTCTTTGTGTGGCTCTGCTGGTCTCTGGCGGCCAGCACTGACATCATGCCCATCTTCTTTCTTCTTCTTCTTCTCCTTATTTTTCTTCAAGTGGGCACTGGATATAGCTGCGTGCTCAGAGGGGCTGTCCTCTGGATGCTCCTTCCTTGCAAGCGGTACCTTGTCTGGCATCTTGGTGAGAAACAGTTAGTACGAGTCAGTACATCCGAAATCTAAGGGGCTGAGACCAAGGGGCCCTTTCAATGCCAGTGAGGTGTAAGGGCACATTGCCAAACATTGCCAAGTCCTAAAAGTCCTAAAAGCAGCTTTATAGAGCCTGACGTCCTGATCATGAACAGCCATGTTAAAGAGCTGTTGGAATGTGACTATCCCTGTCCCAAAGCCTTAAGTCACATATCTGGGCTTGGCAAAGTGAAAGAAAAAATGGAGTTTTTTTCTGTCTGTGATTGAAATTTTGGTGCTGGAGGAGTCTGCTCTGCTACTGGGTAGATTCTGTGAGGGAAGAAAGTGTGTACTTACAGAGACATTGGCAAATGAATGCTCTTTGGGTTGGATTTGGACTTCTTACTGATTTTTACCACTGTGAGTGGTATCATTCTAGATATGAAGTGATTTGCTCATGTTCCTGATGTCCTGAGAGATCTGGGCTGGGAACAGCAGCTCGGTCACAATGTTTTAGTCACAGTTGTAGTAATTTTCTGTCAGTCCACAAACGAAAAATAAATAAGCTCCTTTTGCTCTTAAGGGCTTTTTTTTTTTTTTTTTTGGGTGTGGGGGGGGGGGGTGATGAGGAGGGTGTTCTTGTGTGTGTGTGTGTGTGTGTAGGTTTGGTTTTTTTTTCTGGTTTTATTTTCCTTTTTTCTTAAAAACCCCAAACCAACCCACATTTGTTTTTACAACCCCCAGATTTTTCCAGGCTGATCAATACAGCCCCTTTGAAGAATAATGTGCAGAGCTTTGGACTTTGACATTATTTAAGCTGATTAATGATCTGTTATTTGCAAAATGAGGTGCTACCATTCCAGAGCATCTAACAAGCATGAATCAGGCTTCAAAAGACATAATACTGACTTAAAATTCATTATATTCTTGAAGTAATATGCCCTGGGTTACTCTTATTTACCCTCTGGCCACTGAACTCTCGTTCATGGTTTTTCCCAACCGCATGAGCTCCAGGCTTTTCCTCTCAGTGGAGACCAGCTCTCAGAGTTCTACTTAAATGAAAACAAACCCCAAAACACTAACTAACACAGCAGAAATGGGGAGAGGAGATGTGATCAGGGGAGCTGGCCCTGTGGCCAACTTAACTGATTGCTTAGGGGAGGGGTGGTGGTTTATCATTGAAATGTATTAAAAAGGAAAACAGGGGTTAAAACACAGCATGGAGGAAAAAAAAAAAAAGAAAAAAGGGAAAAGGAAAAAAAAGTTGAAAACTTGCCAGGAAAACAGTGGTCTCAGATATTCCATTGATTTTTCTGTCCACTGGTAACAGCAGGCTGCAGAGAGCAACCTGTGTGCAGACTCTCCTATCCTGCCTGCTGATGTATTTGTGTCTTTGCTTGATCGTATCTGTCCGAGAGAACTGATTTATTGCCGAAAACAAGCATGAGCAGAGGTTTGCTCTGAGCTGGTATGAAAACATTTCATACACTAGTGTTGATGGAAAAACCCTGGCCCATCCTGTGTTGTTGATACTAATCTGGGAGGACCCCTTGCTGGTAACCAAGCAGGCACTTTCCTAATGGAGGTGAAGGACTCGAGACACTGGAAAACACAGATTAAAAATATGTTAGTTATTGGGAATAACTGCTGCAAAGCAACCATATTAGCTATCGTAAACTAAATAAAGGATATTTATAAGGTTTTCTGGACACTGCATGAGATTTCCTTATAAAACCATAAAGATAAAAAAAAATGTCTTGAACATAAGGAAAAATGTCATGGATATCTGTTATTTCAACCAAATGCTTTGAAAGAGAAATCAGTGTGACTTTGAGTCAGCAACTCAGAATAATTAAATGTAGCTGTGAAAGAAAAGTATTCTTCTGCAGAAAGCCTTTTACTTACTGTTAAGGAATTTGGCAGGGCCTCACTGTCCGCTGAGTTGGAGTAATCCTGCTCTATCTCCCCCACCTCCCCAAGCACTTTCTGTCCTTTTGTGTGTGCTTCCTTCTGATTCAAATATGCCTATAATGTAGAACATTCAGAGTTTCAGATCAATGGATTGAGCTACTGCAAGTCTGTGGTCAAAAGGACTTAGAAATGCTGGAAGCCTGAGATGTATCCCTGTAGATTCACAGTGATCTGACGGAGCAAGGTTAACCTGAAATTACTTTTGCAGGTAGAAGCAGTGGCTTTTACAGGATTGCCTACTCTAGCTGCATAAAGTAGGCAAGCTTTACAGTATGTGTGTGCCCCAAACCATGCCTGGTTTTCCAGCTAACCTTCTCTGTCTAATAGAAAATATTCCTTCTGTTTGCAGACCTTCTCTTACTCTTCTGCTAGACTATATTGACTACAGGAGCTCTACTACCTGATGACATTCTTAGTTAGAGAAAGGCAAAGGGTGTCTCGGCATTAGCACAAAAGAGAAGGGGTAATAATTTCTACTCTAACACCTTTTCCATGTAGGCAGCTATTTTAGAACTTGAAACTTGCCCTAAAATGCCTTTTCTAATCCCTTTGTGTTTCCTGGTGAATCAACCTTTTTTCAGCCTTCCTCACTGATACAGCTAGACCAAAATTTGAGTTCACCAAGAACTATTGCAATTGCAGACTGTCCTTTTCACATCTTCTCGGACAATTTACAGCCCAATCTAATCTATGCAAAGCGATGAAATCTGGTCCTGTTTCAGGGCATTCCTCTTGCTGAGCAGTGGGGTCACTGGTGACTGACGGCAGCTGGTAGCCTCTGAAGACAGAGGTCAAACTAACCCATGCAAAGTCCTCTGCTTGTGTTTCACAGCTTTCTAGTGTTGTCAGCATTAAAATAAAGTGGTTTTACATGTAGCTGAGCCACAGGCATAAGAGATGCCATTGTGTTAGTACACCTGAGAGCTCCTTGCACTCCAGTGTGTTTTCTTTGATCCTGTGTTGTGGGGGAGAGTCTGGATAGATAAGGCTCTTATAGTCTGTGGATGTAAATATTAATATATATGTATTTATTGCTGACAGAAAAAGAAAAGATGATTGTGTTTTTCTGGGCAACAAAGAAGCTCTTTTCCCGGAGCCCATAAGAATGCTTTGTGGCTTCCCAACTGATACATTTTTTGTTTAAATTGTTTGATGCTCATGAACAGTTTGCAGAACTGATCCACACGCAGGGGAAATGCTGTTGTCTCCTCCCTGCCTTCTCCAGCAATGACTTCCAAAGCTGCGGGGCCCTTACTTTGAGGAGGTCCCAAATTATTACTGGCTTTATTAGCATCCTTCAAATGTTCTTCTCTTTTCCATAGGAAAATATTTTCTCTCACAATAACTGCAGCTATTGGGGATGGGTTTTCTGCTGTACCTGCCAGGAGCTCTGGTTTGTTCTCTGCTTTAACTAAACAATTTTTAGTTTTAATCTCATCCCTTTTTTTTCCTCTCTTGCAACCTTAACTTTTTGACACTGCTTCCAGATACCTTTTAACGCGGTCGGTGGAAATCTGTAACACTGCCACAGTCCTGTTATTGTTTTGCTCTGATTCTCTGATAGCCACAAGGATGGAGTCCTGCGCAGCTTGTCCTAGAGGCAAGTAAATATTGACAGATTAATTCTTCTCGGATGTACAGGCCATAAAGGAGTATTGTTTTAGGACCTGCTTCTGTGAGGTGATTAACACCATCAACTCCTGTTGCCCTCAGTACATGTGGGGACTTTGCAGGATGGAGGTAGGACCCGTGATGAGGGTAGCGAGTGTGACCTTGTGTACCACAAAGCAGGGCATGTGTTTTCTCTCTGCTTGGAGCAAACTGTGTGTGTGCCACACGCTGAAATACTGCTGTTCCTAGCCTGGCTGCCTGCAAAGTGCTGAATTTGAACCTGCTTTTACTGTCCTAAGGGTTTCTCTTTCACGTGTCACCTGCCTAACAGTCCTCACAGCACCACTGTGGCAGCCTTCCTGCTTTTCATGGAAAAAAACTGTGGAATTTCAAGCAGTATTTGAAGTCTGCAGTCACCTTTCGACCTGCTGTTGACTGCAGGTAGTACACCATTTTCCCTTCAAGTCCCACTTCTATTCAGTTCCGTAGGGTTCTGGATAGCATTGCTGGGTTTATCCCAATTACTTGGTATAGAGAAATTTTCCATAGGGAAGTGGAGTCTGCTTTCCAGAGTCGTAAGACATTTCTTTCTCCATACAAAACACCCAACAATGCTTGATTTTTATTTTGTCCCTGCCCATCTTCTACTTGTATTTTATAAACCCTGCTCTGCCTAGCTAAGTTTTGGGATATTTTGTTGATGTTTATGCAACCATCCAGTAGAGCAACTGCAGTGATGCTGATTGACATGGGCTGATGACATAGTATGTGAGTTCATGCAGAAACAGTGATTTAAACCAGTTGACTCTGAGCCGCAGATTTTACTCCCTGATGCATATGGCTTTTGTGATCTTGCTTCGTATCTGATCTATTCCTAATTCTGCAGCTCTTCAGAGCATCGTTTTCAGGGACGACTTTCATTCTTCCCTTTAAAGATATTTTTAGGGAACAAATCTGTTTCCCTTGTAATAAATATATCAGCTTGTGTCAAGCAGCAGTTGTTTTCACTTCTTGTTTGTTGGTGTGTGAGAGAGATGACTGTTCTCACTTGATCTATCCCCTCTCTGACCAGATTCCTACCTTGCCTCCTGCTCAGGGGTCTCATTGACCAACTCCTGATGCTGATGCTCCTGAGTCCCACCATGAGACTAGAAGGGAGGAGGGATAGGCTTCCACTCCGTCCCCTGTCCTGCAGAGCCTTCCTTACCTGTTGGCATGCTTTATGTCCCCATGGTGGGGTTACTTCATGGCATTACCTTTCCTTTCCCTCTCTCCCCAGCCATGTGTGGTGTTGTTGCGACGATCTGGTTTCCCGTGTGTGCCCACCGTGAGACCACCATTATGAGCTTCGGCTACTCCCTGTACACGGGCTGGATTGGCTCTGCTCTCTGCCTCTTTGGTGGCTGCGTCATCGTCTGCTGCTCGGGAGATGCCCAGACGTTTGGTGAAAACCGCTTCTACTATGCCTCGGGATCCAGCTCCCCTACCCATGCAAAGAGCGCACACGTGTAAGCATCCTGGGGACGTCCCACGGCTGCTGTCGGATGCTTTGGCTTATGGGTTGGTGTGCCCTGGGTCTGCTTCTACTGACACATGCCGCTGTCAGGCTCCCAGGGGAAGATTTAGAAAAGCAGCACAAATGTCTGGTAGTTTGAAGCATTATTCTCCCCATCTGTTCCCCCCTTCTCTAGAAAGAAATCTGCAGCCAGCCCTACCTCTTGGTCCTCCCCATTTTGTCCTAACCTCCTGCCCCATCTTTTTGCAGCCAGGAAGACTCGGATGGTTTGGGGTTGTCTGGGGGTGTTAGGGCTTTTATTTTATTTTCCAGCTTCCCTGATAAAAGGAGAGTTTAAAGCAATAAAACAGAAATGAGAGAGACACTTTCCCATTGTTAGAAGGACTCTGGGAGTTTCTCCCACCATGTCAGTATTTGGTTTCCCCTGTTCAAGGTCACTGCTTTGGCACGGTTTGGGTGAGAGGGAGGAAGGCTGTACACTCCAACCGCGAAAATGTTTCTCTTTTGCAACAAGAGTAGGGGGATTTTTCTGCCTTTCTCTGTAAATACTTTTGTATGAGTTTGATCATTTTAGTAACAGTTTTTCCTCCAACCCCCACGGTCATCAGTATGAAGGAAACAGAGCCCAATGGTCCTAATTACATGGTAGATAACAGTGCCTTTCTATATAGTTTTAAATGACTCTGGGGGCTCTAATCCCCGTACTCTGGTTTGGTTTTTCCTTTTTTTCCTTTGTACAGATCAGTTACTAAAAATGTATTTTTACGTTCTTTTTGATTTCTTCCTCTAAATTTGTGTTCTGTCTTGCACCATTAAAGTAGCACATTTTAACACACATTGTAATGTACCTGTTACAATACAATTCTGGTGAATACTGATGATGCCTTTGTACTTTCAGTGAAACACTGTACAATAAATAACAGAGTATGTGCAATCACTGGCTTCTTTTTTTCCTTCCTTCCTGTGTGGTTCCATAGTTAGCTTTTCCATGGCAGGGGTTTCCCAATGATTTTGAATATATATATACACACATATATATATGTGTGTATATATATATGTATATGTATGTATTTAATAGCAGCTCCGGTGACAGATTCTGCTTTGCTGTGGAATTAAGTTGGCCTTTTGGTTTGTTCTTTTTTTGCTGTTAAGTATTTAAAATATGATTACTCTTCCTGCATGGTACTGACCACTGCCTTACCCATTCATTCTTTCAATGTTCCCAGTAGCAGCTTACAGCAGTGGTACTGACTTGCAGTACTCTTCATACTGGGGAGACCTAGAAACCCACTCGGGTGGTGGAGACGTACCCCCAGCCCTGCTTGGGCATGCTGGACAGAAATCATATTGCCAGGAGTGCTTTCAACAAAAATAAGAGTCTGATCCACGGTCATCGTTCGGATTAAAACTGTGTAAGGTCAAGATCTAACCCTGCCTTTATCAGAGGATGTAGCAATTTAATTACATTGATACAAAATCCCATCTGTTGCAGGAGATGTTAACTCAGTTCAAATAAATTGTGTACACCAGGCTTCAGGAGAAGGAAAAGAGGAATAGCTGCTCTTCAGGTGAGGACAAGGGGGATGGGTGTAGAAGGAGAGGGGATTGAGCGAGCAGAGGAAAAGATCTACCAAATTGTTTGGAGTGATGGAGAAGAATTTGAAAACAAGGCTGCTAGTCAAGCCTTGGTGGAAGGTCTGCTTCAGCTGGAGAATCCAAACTGAGCAACACATCCCTGGGCAAGGATACCATAGCTCCCACATCTCTCCTTCTCCATGTGGGAAGCTGAGGCAGGAGCATTTAAAAGGAGTCAAAAGGAGGATGGCTGTGCTCCTCAATGGCCCTTTGCCTGCACGGACAAGGGGTGGGCAGCAGCCCTAGCATCTGCCTTTAATACCGAGCAGTCTTGAACGCGTCTCTGTTGTGTGAACTTTGCATTGCTGCTGTCCTATACAATGTACCCAAGGCGGGCAGTGGCGCGGGGCCGGTGGCAGGACACTTGTGCCCATTACATCACAGGCAGGGCACAGGCAGTTGTTGTATGCGCTGGAGGGACGCTGTAAGTGCTGCCATTGATGTGGGGGTGCCACGGGCGAAGGGGTGGCGCACAGACGTGCCAGCTTGTGCAGGCTGCCTGGGGATTGTGGATTGTGCTGCTGTTGCAGCTCCGGCTGGGGAGCAGCTCTGGCTGTTAACCCCGGGACCGACGGCAGCATGGGAGACCTCAGAGCAGAAAGCTGCTGAAGCACTGCCTGCGAACAGCCCTGAGCAAACTGGGAGAGAAAAGCACAGGAAAACCCGTGCCTGAGGATCTCTTTTCGGCAAGGTGTTGGTGCCACTGGTGGGACCCAGGCAGCAAGGCATGGCCTGACGGGGGATGAACTGCACTAGGCAGCATTTATATGTTTATACATATTTATTACCCGTTTATACCTTCAGGTACATGGGTCTGGGGGCCCTCGGCAGGGAATGGTGCTTGCTCTGCCTGTGGTCACAGTTATTGGCAGCCAATCCCTTATCCAGCATTTAAAAGACCCTGGGCAAGCTGCTCAGAGGAAGAAAGAAGCCATATTTCAGGGAAGATAAGAAAAAAAACCAAAGTGAAACAACCCTGGAACAGCCGTGAGGGAAGCAGACATCTGCAGCTGTAGGGTGTGAGGAGATGGAGCCAAGAACAGGACAGGATATTAGTGCTGGCACCACAGAGGGGAAGTGTTTGGAGGAAGCACAAAGAATATTAAACTTTTCTAGGTTTTAGATGATCAAAGCTAAATACCTGCTCTGCACCACCCCCCCACACACCCTGCTCTCCTGTGGGGTTCTCCTGGGCTGGGTTGGCTGAGGCGCTGCTGGCTCTTAAAGGCTTTTGGTGCTTGTTTGCTGACCCAAAGCCTCAAAATGGAGTCAAATATAAATCTCTTGCTGCGGGTGGTGGATGCGAGCTGTGGTGGTCACCCTGGCATGGAGGTGATGGTCCCTGATGTCTCAGTGGAGCCCTCCCCAGCTCCATTAGGACCTCTCTCCATCACAGGGAGTGTGCCTGGCAGCCTTCCCATTCCCCAAATAACAGGAGGGAGCCCATATGGGGTTACTGGTGGCTCTGAGCTCCCTGAAGGGGAAAGGTGGCCATGGGCCCACGAGTGATGTCTGCCTCTCTGCAGCCCCAGTGCCTGTGCAGGGGGGTGATAGTGCTGTGACACTGCAGTTATCCTGGGGAAAGGCAGGTGCCAGCAGCACTGTGAGCAGAAGGGAAGACATTGGCACTGCCCAGGGCTTTGCACTGCAATAGCCAACCTGTGGTCATCAGCTTGAGGGGTTTGCTCTTGTCTTTTTATTGTATAAACTCATAACCATTTTTTTCACAACAGTGTAAGTATATATCAAAGTCAGCCACTGAAATGGATCTTCTATAGAGGAAATTCTGAAGCACTTAAGGCAAGATTTGTTCATCTCTTGCTTCAGTTTAGCACTGAAAAAATATCAAATCTCCAGGTACTGACTGGCTTCACAGGACTTATATGGGAATTTTTTTCTTACTATTTCCTTGTTTAGTTTTTAATTTAAAAGATTTACATTATTATGGAAACTGATAATAAGACACATTTGTCTCTGGCTTCCTTTAAAAATCCCTTTCTTCCTCTTTGATTTTTAGATGTAAAGGCACACAATAAAGCTTTATGCATTTATTAAAATATACAGATTTTGGTAAATTTAGACTTTTTTCCATAGTATTGGACAATATATATATATAATATGTATAACTGCCAACAACACAATCATTTGAAAAGAAAACTCACTCCATGACATATCTGCATATTTTTTTCCTTTCTCATGACACACTACAATATCCCATTGTACAATGCACCAATGGGCTTTTGGAAACCACAAAAAAAATTTAATAGAACAAACTGTTTTTAACAAACACACCAATTTCATACCAGAACTGCAGAGAATTGTTACACCAGAAAGTACCACCCGCAAAAAAAGCAAGATATACATCAGAAAGACTGAACAGACAAAGTGGAGATCATTTACAAGCTGGATTTACAACATCCCATGTCATTCAGTGCGTGATTTCTCTGCCACGTGGAGGATGCCGGTGTGCTGGAACTTGCACTGAGCGGTCGTAACTGTGCGGAGTGGATTTGTGGAGGGATGAGATCTTATAGAGTCGGTCTGGAAGAGTTGAGGTATTTATGCTCCATCAGTATCATGCATTGCCCTCCCTGGTGTATGCCCTGTGGAGGACGGTCAGGCGCAGAGGGGCTGTGTGCCTCTCATGCAGCACGGTACCACTCTGCCTGTGTCCTCCTGGTGGGTCAAAGGTGTGGGAACCTCTCTGAGGGCACCCATGTGGAAGGCTAGATTATGGGGTTACACCAAAACACGCACTTGCACCTCTCCCAGTGTCCAAAACCGCTCCTGGTGCCAGTGGTGCCCAGAGGTGATGGAAATGCCTGAAAGTGTTGGACTTTGCAGCTCTTGCTTGTCCCCATTGAAGACCCTAATGCCTGCTGCAGGGGAAAGCACATGAGCTCCCAGATGGAGGCTGAACCCACACGTCTCTCAAGCGCTGCCGCCCAGAGCAGGCTGCAGGAACCCCGCTACAAACCGGCCTCCCTGGGCACTGGCTGCTCAGCTGCCAGCAAGCACAGGCCAGACCCAGCCTGCGGCTCTGCTGTCTTCTCCTTATGCACCTCTGTTAGGTGGGATGTGGTGGGCTCGGGAAGAGGGTACAGCTCTCACCCCTGACACGGTAAGGACTGATGGCAGCCCACCCACATCAGACAGTGCCAGACAGTGCCATGGCATCAAACACTGTTTTCCAGCAGTCCTGGGAATAAGGCGCAGATATCCTGCCCCGGCACTTCCCTGGGAAGTGGAAGGGGGATGCGTGAATGGGAACAGGAGTAGCTGAAGGGCTTCACTCAATACATGGATCCAACGGAGAGGTTCTTAGAGACACCAAAGAGCAAGGGATCAAGCCCTCATCAAATTATACAGAGTAACCAGAGAGGACATGACAACAGACACTGGTACTGGTAACTGCTCTGTAGCAAGAGATTAAGGCAGGCTGCAAAAGGAATAACAGACTTTGATTCAACAGGGTACTTGGGCACAAGTTTGTGGTTCAGCAGATGCCTAAATACCATGTGGAAGCAGGACAAAGACAACTACCTTGGATACAGTATAGTATAAGAGCTGGTAGGAAAATAGCATCAATCTTTCTCCCTGAAAAGGTAAAGCCAGACCTGTGAGGTGCCATCTCTCTTGGGTACTTCTAAGGCATTGAGGACAAGAGCAGTTAAGCACAAGTGAGAGGTGACCTTTGCAAGAGGTGCTCAGCACTGCTGGAAAGGTTTCCCAAGCTGGTCCGTGAGTGGTGCGCACACTGCAAGCAGATTTTCGGTGGAACACACTCATCATTTCTGACTGTAGAAGTCTGGCAGGGGCGGGCAATGGAAGGAGGTGCCAGAGCGAAGCTTATGAGTCCTTTTGCCAAATCCTTGCTCTCATTCTGAAGCCCTCACAGAGGTCAAACTTCCCTTGGTTTTCTGGGGCACTCTGGGTTAAGATCTGCAGAATTGGATGCTCTTTGCTGGGAAAAGGACCATAGTTTGTTACCATTTGGAACAGAAGCTGCAGGGAAACTTCCTCAGTCACAGGAAGTGCCTCTCCATTGAGCCCCTGAGCCCCAGGAGTGATGTGGATGGGCATGGGTCCAGGCACCCTCTGCACCCAGCAACCCGCTTGCCCACAGAGGGTGCTAGGCAGGCTCTGCGCTGTGTTTTCGGGGGCTGAACCTCATTCAGTGAACCAAAGAGTTAATGGCTCTCAGCATCACATGTTGAAAATCCTACCCCATGCCCCATCAATGTTAAATTGTCCCCTAGGACACTAGGGGCAGCCCCTGCTACTGGGGATTGGTCTGGG